CAATGACTTATAGGTACCATCTATCTGCACACACACACACACACACACACACACACACACACACACACGCACACACACAGTTTTCTGGGTGATTCTGGCTAATACTCAATCTCTACATTTCACGCTGCTGTTGAGGCTTGAGTCAAAGGCTCAGACGCGTTATTATTGTTCATACTGTAGAGAGACATTCTGCTTTCCCACCAGGGTGATGTGTGTCAGGAAAAGCGCCTTGTAGCAGTTTTCCAGCATCTCCCTTGAGAGACTACTTTAAAAGACCCGCAGTTGTGAAATCTGGGCAGATTTCCAAGCCTCCTTTACTGACCTACCCAGGCTCTTCTTCTCCTCTTGTTCTCTACACAAAAGAAATGCCTTCTGCATATCTACAAAAAGGACAGGATGCTCATGAGCGGCTTCAGAAACATCTTCACTTATTTTTTTTTTCGAGAAGAAGATCTATGAGGAGCTTCTAGTAGAGAGTACTGAGAACTCAGAACTTTTGAAAATCAAATTATGCTTTGTCTTGTAGATGGGACGTTCGCTCGATGATCTTATGGTTTCTTTTATTGTTTTGCTCTGATGTATGAGATGGAAGATGCAGTTAGACACAGGACTCTAGACACAGTGACCCGGACTGTCAACCCCCTTGTTACCTCATCAGTCAGAATAAGGGGTCTCTTAGTTTGTGTTCTATTGCTGTGATAAAAGCCAGGACCAAAAATAACTTTGGGAGGAAAGGGTGCATTTTATCTCACAGGTTTATAGTCCATCATTCATAGAAGCCACAGTGGGATCCTGGAAGCGGAACTGAAGCACAGGCGATAGAGCAATGCTGTTTACTGGCTGGCTTCTTCTGGTTTGTGCAGCCAGGCAAGCCTGCCTAGGAGTGGCAGCCTTCACAGTGGATCAGACCATTTGAAACCACAGACATGGTCAAAGGCCAATCTGATCTGGGTAATTCCCCAGTTGGGATTCCCTCTTCCCAGGTGATGTTAGGCTTGTGTCAAATTGCTAACAGAAGCTGATTATGGCGGGCACCAGTTTGAATTTTGTTGATAGATGACTTTATAAATGAACAAATGAAGAATGAATCAGTTCTCTTGCCTAAGTCAACATTGTCTCGGTGATGATGATGGAATAAAAATTGCTTGTGTTGGTAAAGAGAGGTTAATTTCAGCCATAGGGAGCAACCATGCCCTTTCTCATCAGCTGACTGGGGCTCTGCCATTGCCATCACGACAGCCACCCTAGGGTTTCTAAGGGTTCAGGACAGATGTGAAAGCACACTGAGCCCAAGATGAGTAGGACCTTCTCAACAGCCAATCTAATTCTTTCTTTCTTTCTTTTTTTCTTTCTTTCTTCCTTCCTTCTTTCCTTCCTTCCTTCCTCTCTCCCTCCCTCCCTTCCCCCTCCCTCCCCCATTCCTCCCTCCCTCCTTCCTTCTTTCCTTTCTTCCTTCCTTTCTTTCTTCCTTTCTTCCGCCTGCTCCTCTTCCTCCTCTTTTGTTTTTTCAAGACATATTTTCTCTGTAGCTTTGGAACCTGTCCTGGAACTTGCTCTGTAGACCAGACTGGCCTCTAATTCAGAGATCCACCTGCCTCTGCCTCCCTAATGTTGGGATTAAAGGCGTGTGCCCCCACCTGAGAACCTAAATCCCAGAGCTTGCTTTTACAAATTGCTGGTGCAAGCTCCCTGCCAAGCACTTAGCGGGCACTTTCTCGCTAGAGTGACTCTCTGAGAAAGGTTTCTACTCCCGCCTTATACTGATAGTGCTGAAGAAGTTAGGGTGGAACAAGTTATCTGAAAGCCCTGTGGCTAAGGATTTGAAGCGCCAGGATTTGAACCCAGAATGTTGGATACCTGTGATGACCATGTTGCGGCGGAATCCGGAGGCAAGTCTCGTCACTGCCAAAGCCGGAAATGCCCTGCATTGCTGACCTGTAGTGATGGCGCAGAAGCTCTGCTCCATCCCATCCTGTTTTACCCCCAAACCGGAAGCTGTGTGAAGGTTAAGGACAGAGAGAAGGAACTGGACGTAAATACTTGGCACGCCTTCACAGCCATGGCAAGCATGGCCGTTGTTGCTTTTCGAGCTGCCGTGACAAAGAAGGCGGCCGGCAGAAAGGACTTCGGGAAGGAGAGTTTTATTTGGTCTCCCAGCATTCAGCTCACCGTAGTGAAAAAGGAACATGATAGGAGCAGCTGGTCTGTGGTGGGGTGGCTTCTCATAGGACGGTCACAACCGGAAGCAGAGAAAACATGCTGAAAGCAGACATGGACACAGCCTTCGAGGGTCATCTCTAGGGACCCAGCCAGGCCCAAAGGTCCCACAATCTCCTGAAGCACTGCTAGCTTTCAGGAACCAAGAGCTTTAACACTGGAGCCTGTGGGAGACACGTGATAGCCAAAGCATAGCAGCGCCCGGGTAGACACCGCAGAGGCATGGCTGTGACTGCCTGGGGTCTCTGCCCAGAGTGCTGCTGAGGCAATGGTGGTGTTTCTCTGGAGTTTTAGTAAACAAGTGGGCAGGCGACCTATGCACATTTTCTCTATTAAATTACTACTACTGAGCAGATGGAAGAGAGACCGGGTAGATACTGTCTACTCTTTTTCAGCAAGAAAAGCAAACAAATAAAATAGCTGCATCCACATGATTCTAGTCATATATGTAAAATGCTGTGCTACCTACACAGAAAGCGTATGATCTGCTCCGTGTTAAACCTGTCAAGGCTTGTTCTGCCGAGTGGTCCAGGACAGAGGAAAGCCAGTTGCAGAGCCTGCTCCTGGGGCTGGGCTGGGCCCTGCTGGTTCTCATTAACATTCTTGCTGCCTTCTCATTGATAAGAAAATAAAGCCAATAGGATCACTCCCATCTGACTTGGAATTTATGGCTTTCAGCATCACCACTGTCCTTCAGATCTGTAATAACTGATGAGACAGATTCAAAGTCAAGATTCCAGTTTCGACTGTGGGCCATTTTGTAAGCGCAGTTATATTAAATACAACATCTTGCTCTTCCCTGCTGGCTGTTTCCTTTTCACTTAAGGCAATTCATCTACTCACAAAATATATGTTAAGGGTCTCGGTGTCCAGTTCTAGAGCTATCAGATAAGTCAGGTTAGCATCTACACAGGAGACAGACGTGGCTGTGAGTTACCCATGGCTCAAATGTCTTGGTGCTCACTGGGGGGCCAGAAGCACCTCTGTCTACAGGAAAGGATTTCAGGAGAGTCTTTAAAGAAGACTCAACTCTTTGAAAAGATGCAAAGGGGAGGAAGTACAGGAAGAAAACTGTGGCCACTTTGGCTACATGCACAGACTAAAGGCATCCGTGTGTGACTCGCAGACAGGGAGCCTAGAGGAATCTTTACTGACATGCTGATTGTCTTCGTGATGTAGGAAACAGGAGCCTATGAACAACCCCAAAAGGAGAAACACAGATTAGCATTGGGGAAATTCTCTTCACAGTGTTCTGGAGGATGAATGGGAAGATCCATACCAGGCAGAAGCAAACCTAGGCGATGGCTTTGCATTATTTAACAGAGGTAGGAGTTAAGAAGCAAGCTTAAAAATGGAGCTCAGAGGAGCAGGGGATAGTTATAGGCTGAGGCTTCTCCAACAGAAAATTTCAAACCTTTATAGGACCAGGAATTCTGCGAAGGAGTGGCCAAGGATGTCACATGCTGTCGGCATTCCTGAAAAGATGGCAAAGTGGCTAGCTATCGGACTTGGCACTCGGGGGAAGATTGGCAACCTCGGTGCCCTTAGCTTCAGCGACAGAGGGAGTACAGGGGAACCTCTGGAGCGGGCTGAAATGCAGGTAGGAAATTAAAATGCTGGGAAATTAGTATGGACTGTTATTCTGAAAGCTGTGGTGGTTACAGATTCTTTTCTTCTTTTCATTTTTTAAAAACGAGCAAACAACAATAAAAAAAAGTGGTGCGGGTGGAATGGGGTCAGTGCCCTGTGGTTTTATTAGTACTGGCTCCTTAAACTTGAAGATGTACTTGAAACTTCAGAAGAATGGGCCGACTGGGCTCTGCCACCATGACTACAATTATTTTCTGTCAAGGGCCACTGTCCTGAACATTTACTTCCTGTATCTCCCCACCCCTTGTTGAGCATTCCCTAGCTTGGTTAATGATGCTGTCTTGAGTTACCCCTCAACACCACTGCTGACAGCAACGGCCTCTGGCCTCAATTTTACTCCGGTCCCTGAACTGTACAGTGCTGCAAGGTCACCTTCGGTTCCAGTCGCCCATGTTTACATGAACAATGCCAAGATCTGAGCCTTTCTCACACTCATGATCTCCAAAGGAAGTGAAGGTTAGGAATGAAGCCACACTACCAGGTGGGCGTGATGGGAGAGTGGAGTGAGCAGTGTCTAATTGTCACCTGCAGGTTGTGTGGCATTAGATTAAATGCTTCACCTCTCTTTGACTCACTTTCTTCATCTGCCCTACATAACCCATCTACATAAATAATAACAGAACCTGCCTATTGCGTTATTTTAAGGAATAGCTATGTTAACATAGCCACGAGGCTCATAGTGAGCTTGGCACCTAGTAAGCCCTCTTGTTTGTCCTTACAAACAGGGCCAGTTCCATTGTGTTCCAGGAAGGGTTTCTACCTTTTGCTGCCCTCTAGTGGCCAGTGAGCATATTGGAGGACTTACAGTTGACCCTTTATGTGCTGGATATAAGGTAGAATTAACAATGATGAGGACTAATGGCAACAAAATTTGCTTATTAAACTTAATCCTCATAGTAATTATATTGAGATAGGTGGAGATCATTTTTATTTTGAATAGTAAGAACAGAAGCGGAGAAAATAACTGTCTAAGACAAGCTATGCACACACACACACGCACATACACACAAACACACTCACCCCAAATTAAATATCATATGAACTAAAACAAGTCTTATTTGCAGCCAGGGATTCAATTTGAAAGAAGTAAAAATTTATTTGCTTAGTTTAAATTTATTTCAACACATATTTTGATCTGGCTTTGTTTCAGTTCAACAGTTTCATAAAACATACAGTTTTGGCTTCAGATCATACAGTTTCAGTAGTTCCTCTTCCTTCGTCTTGGAAAGTTGGTTCCATTTATGGTTTACTAACGCATTGAGATTGGGGTTTGGGTCAAGTCCTCTTCAGATAGTCCAGTGAATGTTAGGTTGATGGGCATCTTCAGGAAACGGCCAATGCCTAGCGCTTCCACAGCTCCCTCGTGTGCACCCATGCACCATCTGGCTCTCTGTACATTGGCTGTCCTGAGACAGAACAATAACACCGAACATGGTAGTGAGAGGTAGTTTTTGCCACACTGACAAATGATCTCATTTTGCTGGACCGCCTTCTAAACTTGAAAATTCATGAATTTCATCACACGCTCATTCCAAGGGTTTGCACCTCCCAGATGGGTGGACTCTGAGGGCCCCACGCTCTGTGTGCTCGTCTTTTTATGATATAAATGTGCAGTGTGTGACTGTGCTGCTGCGAATAGTAATGATATCCCACTGGTAAGTTAGTCTTTTTTCTTTAAAGAAAGATTTGTCTAAGTTCTGAGGTTGAACTTTGTTATATTCAGACTCTAAGAGAGAGGCATCTTCCCAGACTTACAATGCGCATATCACAGTGTGTGGAAATGCGTTTATAACTAAATTACTTGGGGCCTATTCATGTGCCTGAGCAAAGGAAGCCTAAACTGAGATCCTGACCATACTGGGCATCATAACTATCACAATTGTTACTGAGCACAAACTATGAACCATCCCTTCATTATGCAGCTACCACAATCTTTTCATTCATAGCTGACTAACGCAAACCTAGAAGAATATACTTGCAGATCAAAAGTGAGGATTTACGTGCATGTGCACCCAGGGCACTCATGTAACTATCACAGCAACCTGGGGATGGGGTTCATAGACAAATTAAGATCAAGGCAAGGCAGAAATTCAGACTGCAAGCAGACGAACAAAAGTCAGGACATGTGCCGTGCCCCAGAGTCAAGAGACGTCAAGGGTCAGAACCTTTTCAAGTAGATGAAAACCAGAGAGAGGAGGGAGCTGGCCCAGTGATAAAAGAAGGAGGAAAAGGGACAAGACAAGGGGCTGGGAGAACAACTCCAAGGCAAAGCCATAAAGAACACTTGACTGAAAGGCTCCATCAATCTGGGCGGATCATCCACACAGACAGCAACCAACATCAGGCTTTCTGTACTAGTTCTGGAACAGAAGATACAAATCCGTCCAGCCTGAGCTGTCATGCATGCCAAGAATAAGAGAAGCCTTGCAGCATGCACAGAGCCCCAAACCCTTCAGTTTTCTCACATGCCATTCAGTCCACTTCCCTGCTTCAGGGAACTTCTTATGTAGCGTCTCTGTTCAGATGACCACATCTGCACGTTTTCCTTCATTTTCAGGGGTGCCAATCCCCCAGCTTCTAGCCAGGAACTCTCTTCTGTTAGAAGATTCCGGCTGCTGAGTCATCCTCTTGCTACAGGTCCAAGATTTTATTTTCTGTTCTGCCTCTCTCTCTGTGGTCACAGAGGACCAGACCCCATTTTTATCTCTTCACGAGAATGATGGAAACGTTTTAAAAGAAGGGAAACTATTTATGGGATATCACATGTGTGACATCTTTCATACAATGAGAGAGAGACAGAAAGAAAGAAAGAAAGAAAGAAAGAAAGAAAGAAAGAAAGAAAGAAGAAAAAAAAGAAAGAAAAATGGAAAGAAAGAAGAAAGGAAGGAAGGAATCAAACAATTAACCCTTTATTAGAATATAACTCCAAGTAGTAAGAAATGTCAATCTGAGGTAGCCTAATATCCAAATTTTTATTTCTGCTCCAGGAAAATATACCTTTCCTAGCTATCACAGTCATACATAGTAAAGCTTAAGGATTATCCTCCCCCTGGCTTTAGAAATGAAGAGTGAATAAGAGTGATCGGTGCTACCTTTATATACATACACACATATATACACACATACATATGTGTACATACATATATGCATGTATACATACATACATATATATGTATACAAATGAGGTAACAAGTCAGTATTTCTCAAAAATAAATACAGAAGAAGAAAAAGATAACAATGGAAGGGAAGATGCTAAACACACAGTTATTCCCTCTAGCACTAGGTACCACATTCTGTGCTCTATGAGGACACAGAGGAAGAAACTGCTGTAAAGTCTGATCTTCACTTTGACTTACACCGACAGATTCTGTCATATGTGCACCAAGCGATCCTGAGTTCAGGTAGGTGGCAGAAATAAAAGCAGTCTTGACTGTAAAAGGAGCAGCTGGCCACTTCCCACCGCCTGCCCGGCCAGCTTTACCCAAAATAATTACATGGAAACTGTATTCATTTAAACACTGTCTGGCCCATTATCTGTAGCATCTTATTGGTTAATTCTCACATCTTGCTTTAACCCATATTTAGTAATCTGTGTAGCACCATGAGGTGGTGGCTTACCGGGAAAGGTTCTAACCTGCATCTATCTCGGAGAGGAGAATCATGGTGACTGACTGCCTCTGCTTTCTTTCTCCCACAATTCTGTTCTGTCTACTCCACCCACCTAAGGGCTGGCCTATCAAAAAGGCCAAGGCAGTTTCTTTATTAACCAATGAGAGTAACACATAGACAGTTAACCCTCCTCCATCATTTTACTTCTGCTCAGAAAGGAGAACTAGAAAAATTAAGCTTTATTGAGCACCTGCCATGGTGTTTTAATCATCATGCTAATTTAGTAAGGAGACATGTATCACAAAATTTGATAGATGAAAAAACTAAGATTTGGAGTGGCCAAATGGTCTCATGTATAGAGTTAAATTTGATACTCTAAACAAAAGTAAAATTTCTATAGTTCAAATGGTTCAAAATCATTATTCAAGCAGGAAGTAGAGATGGAATGATGAGAACAGGAGAATTCTAGGAAGGAGGAAGCCCATTCCTCCCTTTCCTGCCTAGACCATGGAAGAAACAAGATGTAACCTGCCTGGCTGAGAAATGTACCGAGCCATGTGGCTAACATAGATAAGAATAATGGGTTGATATAAGTTATAAGAGTTAGCAAGAAGCCTGAGCTAATGGGTCAATCAGTTTTATAACTTATGCAGACTCTCTGTGTGATTTTCTTTGGGACTTGCCAGCTGTAGGAACTGGACAGGATGGAAACCCCAACAATCAGGCCCCTCATGTTACAGTCTGGGGTCTTTGTTACAATGTTATAAGCAAACGTTGACAGTGGTTGTTGTTTATCAGCTTTTATCATGCAATTGTTACCGTGGCTCTCGTCTTCTTTAGTCATTCATCTGAGCCACAAACATTATGAGTTTAGAGCTATCCCATGGCTATCCTGGAATTCGAAAGTAATCAAAATCCATCAGTACATGTGTATTGTGATCCTATCAATAAACTGAGCAATATGCTAAGTTTGGCTATGTGTAATCAATAACGTTTAGCCCATTTTCAAAGAATTTCCATCAAGTAGCCAATGGCAGCAAATACATAAGCAGTTATAATACAGAAGGATGATTGTTGGCTTGAAAGCTGTGCTCCTCCCCCTTGAACACATTTCGGGAGTTTAAATCTGGAACTGTACTCTACTAGGATAGACGCCAAGGACTTTCCCCTCGCGAAGCCACCAGCTATACAGTCCCTCTGCCAAGTCTGCACAGGACAGGGCCCAGACAAGATCGAGAGGACTTGGAATGACAGTGGGATGCATGGGAATGCTAGAGGTAAGGACATGTAAGTGGTCGTGTGTGCATGCAAGCTCCTATGAGGGTGTGTTTATGTATGCGTACATGCACACACTCCTGTGCAGAAAGGGGTTCCAGATGGCTCAGTCCTTCCAGTAAAGTACTTGCCAAGGTGTGAGTGACCCTTCTGCAGGGCACTGGAGAATTGGCTGGGCTTGGGAGCTGGGGTGAGTGGGGTGAGGGTGAATAGAGTGGTGGGGAAAGAGAACTGGTGTGCTGTGGTCTATGAAGACAGAAACATAATTTTTTTCATTAAAACAATCTTGAAATTGTTGACAAGCCCATAAAAAGGCTAAGTTAGAGCTGTCCTGGGGCAGTTTTTCTTTGAGTTGAGTTTATTAATGTAAGTTTTTACATGGCTTTTTATTAAGAAACATATGGTACTTTAGGCTATTTAACACCAAAGAAAAAGCATCATAAAGAAACATTCTGCACACCGATCTAACATAAATGTATGCTGCTGCATTTTACAGAAACACAAGCTGCTGGAGGGTTTGTGGAGTTTCTTCAGTACTCGAGTGATCACCCACGAGAGATCTTAATTTCATTTAGAAGCTCATATTAAGCTTTTCAGGACTAAAAAGAAAAACATGGATATGCTTGCAGGTTCATGCGTGTATATGTGTGTATGTGTATATGCATGTGTGTATGTATGTGTGTGTATGAGTGTGTGTATGTATGTGTGCATGTGTATGTGTGTGTCTGATTGTGTATGTGTGTGTGTGTGTGTGTGTGTGTGTGTGTGTGTGTGTATTTGAAGGTTGAAGGAGGGTGAAGATTTGACAAAAGAGCTATCCTCTTAATCCACATGCCTTATTGATCCTTTGAAAGGTTTTCATAAAAACACTGAAAAGGGCTGAGAATACTGCTTAATATCCTATTGGATTTTAGATAGAATAAGATTATTCCTGCCCCCAAAGAATCGCCCAATCCTAAATGACAGGGACCAAACAGTTGCACACCCTCTCCTGACTTAAGATAGGGAAAGCCGTGCTGGGGACTGGATTTGTATGCCCACATATGAGGGAACTGTTTGCATTTTTCTTCTCCACCAAGAAAGTAACAAAGAGCCAGCAAGGTGACTCACAGATAACACTGCTTGCTATGCAAGCCTTGTGCCCTGAGCTCACACCCAAAACCCACACAAAGGTGGAAAAAGGAACAAACTCCAGAGTGTTAGCCTCTGACCTCCACATGTGAGCCAAGACACACAATCTCTCTCTCTCTTTCTTTCTCTCTCTCTCTCCACTTGTGTGTTGGGGGAGAGTTAAAAGCACCCAAAGTTCACCTTGATCCCTGTCAGACTCCTTTAAAGAATTACTTAACTCATCTGCTTGTCTCACTATAGAAGCCAAACATGCAGCTTCAGATAACCCAGTAGCCGCCTTCAGCGGGCAGAGAGTGGGTCTGTTGCTCTCCTAAAGGCCTTAAGATGAGGAAACACAGGGAAAGTAAGTGGTGCCCGTGGGGACACAGGGGATGAAAAGATATTTGGGGATTCGGGGTCTAGGAGGTAAAACCAAAAACAAAACCTCCATCTTGCTTCTGGGCAGATTGCCATCCTGAAGGAGGCCATGTGTGTGGCAAGGGTGAGGACTGCATAGAGAGGCACCCTTCTCTGAGTTCAGAGAAAGATAAGCCTGGGACCTTACCTTAGAGAAGGACGTCTCCAGATCAGCTGCTGCATGCCCTCAACTACTCCCCCTTGTGGACACAAGTAGACTTTCCAATTTGTCTCCAGCCAGCATGCCTTTGGACCCAGGGCATTGGCATCCCTGTCCTCAAGGAATGATTTAGAACAAATGAAGCACCATTGATCTAGGAAAGAAGAGGGTAGAGATCCAATACACACCAGGCTCCTCTTTTTATCAACATAATCGAACAATACAAGTCATAAGTATATTCAGATCCTGCAACAACAAGGACACTGTTCCTGATTCTGTGACATAAGAAGGAACACAGCACGGCTCCTGCCCTCTAAGGCTCATTCTGTAATAAGGGAGACAGACGTATCGTCCACACTCCAGACTATAACTATAATAAAAACCAGATTGGCTAAAGTGCCGTAATAAAGGTATATCCCACGTCAAATGCAGTGGGACACCAGCGAAGCAGAACCGAAATTGGTTTTACCTGGGGGCATGTGGGAAGAGTTAGGGAAGAAAGAGGGGTTTGTGTGGGATCTTGAGGGACGGTAGAACCCTGACAGATAGAGAAATGAGCGGGAGCCGGAAGTCAAGGAGCACGAGCCGGCGGGAGAAATCCTCCGTGTCTGGATGCCGCTGAAGCAGAGGAGACATTCAGGAGAGCTAGAAAGAAGCCTAGAAAGACAGAGCTGATCCCAGAGCCGGTGTGTGCAAGGACGAGCAGCATGTGTCTCACCCTGCCTGTGGCAGCAGACTGCTGGAAGGTGTTCGGGTGAGAGAATCAGCGGCAAGGTAGAAAGCTGGCCAGGGGGCTGTGAGACCACAGGGGAGGAGGGGGCCAGAGGAGCAAGCAGGGAATTTTTGCATATACTTGCTGATGTTTTTGTTTGTTTGTTTGTTTTGGTTTATGTTTGTTTGTTTGTTTTTGAGTCACTAGGAATGGACCATTTAGTCAGAATTCTCAAGGCTTACACGGCAGGACACAGCAGATAGAACAGGAGCTCCCCCATACCGTTTCTGGGTCCAAGTCCTTAAGCTGCTCCTGGGAACTGTGCCCCCAAATGCGTCATTGAACTTTTTGTCCTCACTTTTCTGACCTGTAAAACTGCGGAGTAAATAGATATCCCACATAAGATTGTTGCCGGTGGCAGGGAGAGGGGGGTTTCAGAAAAATCATGACAGAATTATAGATAATTATAGTAAGTCATTTGGTGTCATATTGGTTTGTGAACGGACATCCCTAACATAACCAACCACAAGGATGAGGGTGTCGGGGCTGGGGAGGGGGGTGAGGGAGGCTAACTCACACTCTCAGCTGAGTGTCATTGAACCCTGATGGAAACAATCGGGGTCTTGTTAGTGGGTTTCCAATACAGTCAGTATTACACTGTTTGACTTCCGTGAGACTTAAACCTGCGAAGGTGGACTAGAAGGGCTTCCAAGGAGTGAGGCAGTGGGGACTCAGTTGAGCAACAAGTACTGGGGAAAGGCTTTCTGACTGCATTTTTAGACTAAGACACACACTATAGAAAATATTAGACAAAATCAGACGGCAACTTGAGTTTGAATCTGTTTGTATGTAGGAGCGTGTGATTCACTTAATTATGATACACAGGTTTTATATATATATATATAAATATATAACATATCTATAAATATGTAACATATATAAATATATATAACATATACAAATATATAACATATATAAATATATAACATATATAGATACATATAACACACACATATATAACATAAAATATATATAACATATATTTATATATATATAAAACAAGGCCACTTAACTGCATTTCCTGCGGGAATTTGTTGTAAGGTCTAAATGAGTTATACTGTAAATTAATATGTAAAAGTCTCAGAGCAGTATTATTGCATGGACAATAAAATAACAGCATCAATGACCGCTCTTTTTTTTTTTTTTTCCATGTTAGCTGTATGACTTTTGGCGAATCGTTTAGTTTTTGAGTGGGTTTTTCTTTCAGGGAATGAAAATGATAAGAGTCGCTGTGAAAGGTGAGTCTGGATCATCTGAATATCAATGTGCTTCAGAAATCGCAAAGCCCTGAAGAAACACCCTGCACTGTGAAGAGCACAGGAAGGCAGTCCTGGCACGAGACTGCTACGTGTGAACAAAACCCACAGAGTGATTGTGCTTGCAGCAAGGAAATGGTAACAGGCTGTGCAACATGGACGCATCTGCCAAGCATACATCAGCATTCACGTGCAAAAAAAACTGGACAGACAGAGACCTGTCTGACTATGGACACGTAAGCAGAGAGCAGTAGTAAGGAGCACGGACACACAACTTAAAAGAAGTCCCCAATGGTTGTTCCTAGAAGTGGTTAGTGATTCAGTCTTATGAAGAACTCTGTGAAAGCCTTTGGGCCACCCTCCCTCCCACCAAGACCATTGGCACCAGCTAAATCACACCAGGCAGTACCTCCTGCTTCATTCCTAGAAAGATAGTAATTTCTTTTCCCTTACTATCATTATTATTAATTAAATTTATTCATTTATTTCATATCCCAACTGCAGTTTTCCCTCCCTCCTCTCCTGCCATTCCATCGCCCCACCTTCCCCTCCCCCACGCCTTTTTTTTTCTGTTCAGAAAGGGGCAGGCCTCCCTTGGGTGCCAACAAAGCATGGCACATCAAGTTGAGTTAGGACTAAGCTTTCCCCCTTGTATTAATACTGCAAGGCAACCCAGTATGAGGAATAGGTCCCTGAAAGTCAGCCAAAGCCTTAGGGACAGTCCCTGCTCCTATTGCTAAGACTCCCACAAGTAGACCAAGATACACAACTGTCACACAGAGGGCCTAGGTTGGTCCCATGAAGACTCCCTAGCTGTCATTCCAGAGTCTTCCAGTCCCTCTGAGCCCAGGTTCTGTTGTGATGGCCGTGATCCCTCTGGCTCACACAGTCCTTCCCTCCTCTCTTCGACAGGATTGCAGGGGCTTGGCCCAGTGCTTGGGTGTGGCTTTCTGTATCTGTTTGCATCAGATGTTGGATGAAGGCTCTCTGATGTAGTTGCCAAGAAAGATGGTCATTTTTAAACTTCAGTGTAAATGAAGCTTGCTAAGAAGTCTCCATTCAGCCCTGAGTATACTATAAACATTCTCTATATACTATAAATGTGTGTGTGTGTGTTGGTGGGATGAGGGGATCAAATCCAGATCTCACACATGCTAATCAAGTGCCATACCTCAAACGTTTAAAAACTTATTTGAGAAAGGTTTCATTATTTCCTACTCTGGCCTTGAAATAATTTGATATCCACCTGTCTCTGGCTCCCAAGTAGCTGGGATCGCAGCTTGTTCTCTGAAACTTGGAATTAGTGTGTGTGTGTGTGTGTGTGTGTGTGTGTGTGTGTGTGTGTGTGTCTGTGTGTGTGTCTGTGTGTCTGTGTGTGTGTGTGTCTGTGTGTGTGTGTGTGTCTGTGTGTGTGTGTGTCTGTGTGTGTGTGTGTGTGTCTGTGTGTGTGTGTGTCTGTGTGTGTGTGTGTGTCTGTGTGTGTGTGTGTGTGTGTGTGTGTGGATAAATATATCTCACGTGGTGATTGGCCAACTAAATTCTCTATCCAAGTTCACCTTTAAATCTCTCTTGTCTTTGAGTTCTGTGGGATTGTTTTATTTGGTCCCTCATCCTCTTCTTATTAAATGTTGGTACTGTTAAATGTGGATTTTACACCATGCATGTTTTCCTCACTTGGTTTTATAATCTCTCTGCATGCTCTTTTTAGAGAGATGCACCCTTCCTCCAGCTGTCTCCTATGGAATCCTTTCTCAGTGTAGTAGTTTGCAGTCAAATATGCAAAGACAAACTTATTTCCCCTCCCCATCAGGTGCTTTCTCTTCTAGGTATGTTCTGGGTTCTTGAATTTGAACAATAATCAAATCCAAAAATAGTATTTTATTCTGATAGAACGATCTATTGGATACTGGATTGTGTTCAGGCAATCTCAGATATGGTCCTAAGTATGGTACCATCCCAGCATCTCTCTGTTCTCTCTGCACTCTGTGCCCAATTGCCTAAGTTGTTCTGTTGCTTGATGTCCTTATATATGGCATCCCTACATACTTCCTGCAGCTCAACTGAATGGCGTCTCCTCTGAGACAGCATCCCACCTCTCTCAAAGTTCTCATCCACACGGCAGCAGCTGTGACAGAATTTAAAGTAAATCATTGCAAACTATGACTCTGCCTCTAAATTTTCTGGAAAGAAAAGATGGAACAATCGTGGGAGAAGACCGCAGAAGCCCACTGGGCTGCACACACCCATCAGCACCTGCATATCCAGGTTGCATCTCCTCCTACCTGACCCCTCGGCTACTGTAAGTCCTCACTCCATGCTATGCTATGTGCCAATTCCACTGCTTGTGCCCTTTGACCCACCCTGAATTACCTGACAAAGGACAAGCACTTTAGTGGTTCCTTCCCTTTTTCTAGAACCATCCATTTCCTACTGGATCACTTCAAACCGCGCTCGCTGCTATATTTTCTGTCTCAAGAGACAAAGTAACATTTTAGTTTTAGGTTTAATTTTTTCAGTTTTAATCTTTATTGAAAATAGATTCCTTTCTCACACAATTTATCACGACCATGGTTCCCCTTCCTTCCACTACTCCCCCATGCCCCTCAACCCCAGGTCCACACCTTCACGCCATTTCCTCTCCAGAATAGAGTAGGCCCCCAAGAGATGACAGCTTACAAGACAAAACAAGATACAATAAGACAAGGTAAGCTCTCATATCGAGGCTGGACAAAGCAACCCAATAGGAGGAAAAGAGTCCCAAGAGCAGGTAAAGGAGTCAGAGACACACCGGCTCCCGCTGGCTCCCCTTGTTAGGAATCTTATGAAAAACCCCAAGCTAACAGCCCTAACATATAAGCAGAGGACCTTGTGCAGAGCCATTCATACCTCATGTTTGCTGCTTGTGACCCCATGTGAGCCCTGCTCAGCTGATTTGAAGGACCAGCTTCTAGAAGAGGGGGAGGGAAAGTGTGACATCATACAGCTTCATCTTTGGTCCTCACCTCTGTCTATACTCACTCCCTTGGTGAAAGTCTTAGTTAGGGTTTCTATTGCTCTGGTGAAACACCATGGACAAAAAGCATGTTGGGAAGGAAAGGGTTTATTTGGCTTACACTTCCACATCACTGTTCATCATCAAAGGAAGTCAGGACAGGAACTTCAGCAGGGCAGGATCCTGGAGGCAGGAACTGGTGCAGAGACCATGGAGGGGAGCTGCTTACTGGTTTGCTTCCCCTGGCTTGCCAAGCCTGCTTTCTTATAGAACCCAGAACCACCAGCCCAGGGATGGCACCACCTACCATGTGCTGGGTCCTCCTCCATCAATCACTAATCACGAAAATGCCCTACAGCTGGTTCTCATGGAGGCATACTCTTAATTGAGTTTCCCTCCTTTCAGATGACTCTAATTTGTGTGTCAAGCTGACGTAAGACTAGCCAGCACAGTGGCTTACTAGCCACAAAGCTGAAGATTTTGTTAATATACTTTTGATGGCCATTTTTTTATATTCATTTCAAATCTCTCTACCAAAATCTGAATCTTTTTTTTTAAATTCCAATGAATGTCCAATAGGCACTTTCAAAAAAAAATAATACCTATAGGCATTCTGGACCCTCTTCCCACATCCTGTTTCCAACAAAGGTGTCTACCTCTCAGGTGATGACAAGTTCATTTCCCAAACCACTCAGGCCTAAAATCCCGGAATCGTGATTTCTCTCCTTCAGATCTTGTGTCCACCCGATGAGGAAGTTATCAGAACCCGACTCCACTCCTGCCCTTGGCTAGAACAGCTGCTCTCCCCCACCTGGACGGCTGGGACTGTCTTCTAACAAGCTCCCCTGGTTCTCGCCTTTCCTCCGCACACCCACTAGGGATCCTTCTAATGAAATCAGAGTCCGTCAGTCCTCCACTAAGAACTCCTCAGTGCTGGGCTGGGAGAGAAACTTGTGGAGAGTTAAGGAGGCATGCGGAGGGGAAAAAAGACCCTCGCTTCCCTGCGTCTTGTTTATGCCTTTTGCTTGCTGAAGGGCAAGCATTTCAACACAAACTGCAAAACCACCTGCAGAAGGCTTGCTCTGTTTTCTGAGAAAGATCGGCAATTAGAGTGTTAACACAACCAACGAAGAGTGTCGAGGTCAAGACACGTCATACACTTCGAGACTTCCGGGGTTTGGTTTTGCGAGCACTTTCTTCTGTCCTGTAAACCTGGACAGTGCAGAGCAGATGAGGGAGTTTGCTTCATTACGAGGAGGAAATGCACTGGCTCATTCTCCATCACTTAAAATACTAATTTTTAAAGGTAGCAATAAATTATGTACTTAGAACAAAATAATCAATAACTTTATCTTCAAAGTCCAGAAAATTACATATATAACTATTTTTGGGACACTCAGCATGTATCTGTATTTACACCCACATCACTCTGGGTGAGTGTGTGTTCACCTTAACTTAATAACCTCCAGCTTGGTTTCATACTTAACTCTCCTCAGATTCTTGGGTGTATCTGTGTCATGATCCTTCCAGTGGCCGAGTGGGACCTGGGGAGAACCTCCAGGCTGCACAGGAGACAGCTTTGAGTCACGGCTCCTGCTGTGGAGGATGCGTCTTCCCACTCCACACAGACACAAGGCAATGTCTGCACCGGTTACAAGGGCCACCTGATCTGTGTCTTTAGTCTTCTTTGACTGCCTGCTTTCCCTCTTCGGTCATCCCCGCCCGCATTGCCCTGGCTCCTCCCCTTTCCTCAGAAGCCACAGGCATTAAGGCTTTTGTTCAAGTTTGTCCCGCTGCCTCTAGAAATCTCCCCCAGTATCCCCGGGTTCGCTCATCTTTTGCAAGTCTTTGTTTTCACCTTTCCAGTTAGAACTTCTCTGGCAACCAATGTCTATGCTGCTACCTGTACTCATTTCGACAATGTTTCTATTGCTAGAAACATTTTCTTCAACTAGTTTCTATTGCTTCGTGCTGTCCTTAATTCATTTATTGATTTATAGTATTTACTGATATTTTATTTTTTGCTATTGTTCCCCACTAGAACAATATCCTCACATGTGCAGGTTGCCAGGATGCCTGCACATAGCACATATTCAATGTGCCTTCCATCTCCCTTCCCCTCTTCCCCTCCCCTCCCCTCCCCTCCTTTCTTACTCTCTCCTCTCCTTTTCCCTCCCTTCT